AAATTATAATATAAATTTAATAATTTGTGTGACCTTAAGCATGACCATAATCACAATCATTGCTAAATGGAGCATAACTCAATGGAAACCCTCCAATTGTTTTTATTTAGGCCCCTCAATACATACTTTATATACTTTACCTTATAAATTTCATATTATTATTGTAATTAGTCTCAAATAAATAAAATTTCATTATATAAGTTATAAGACTATCAATATTCTGCTATTCTATCCTTGTTAGTGCTATTGAGTAATATATATTAATTGTTTCATCAATTATCTATTACTAATAATTATAACTATTAGCATAAGTAAGCAACTAAATCAAAATAAACTTAGTAAAATCTTATGTTAAGTCCTAAACTTACCTCATGGTATTGATTAACTTTTTAGACTTTGTATTGAAACAAATAAATCTTTAGATTTACTGATTTAGATAATTTAATATCCATTTGTACTTTACTTATTTAAATAAAGTCAATATTTGTCATATAGATAATAATATATTAATATTTTATTTACTTAAATGAGGTATAAATGAATATTAAATTTATTATTAAAAAATTAAATTATTAAAATTATTAAAATTTAAAAAAATTAACTAAAATATGAGTTAAATTTAAAAATTTAAGTTTGGTCAATAAACTTTAGATCGAAGGATAAAATTAAGAACAAAAAGGAAAAAAAATGGAATAAAATAAAGAGGTAGGGCCGTAAGGGGCACGGGACAAACAGCTACCCACATATGCTCCCAAGTCAAAAGCTACCGTGTTCAATTTGTCTTTAGTTTCATAGTTTGGCAGCTCTATAATCAGTTGCCCCCACTAGCATGGAACCTACCTCCTCTTGACTATCTTCACCGTTCTCACCCACTTACTAACATACCTACCATAATAATTATTACATAGTTGAAATGGTGGACCGTAGGAATTAAATCATAGTCTCAGGACCACGTACGAAGTCCGTCTCTGTAAAGTGATCCTTTCTGGCACCAAGGAGCCGTTGCATTTTCAAACGCAAATCAAAATCAGTTATTGTTGACTATTTAAATAATTATGTAA